TACATCTTCATTAGTCCCATCCTTAAATCTATGATCAAAGTTAACGATGAAAACAACAGTTAAATATATATGACATACAAACACATATCAGAATGTTGCTTAGTGGTCAAGGTCATATAACTAATGAAAAAATGTTGATAGTGCATGAAAACAAATTAGATTCAGTTTGAAAAAAAAGATATATATTTCCACAGTATATAATAAAATTTGAAATGCTAGGAGTTATATAAGAAGATACATTTGATATGATAATTATGTATGGTTAATTCTGTTTCAAATTCATAAATTTAATAAGATAACATCTGTGAAATATAAACAATCCAAGGACACCTGTGACTAAGTTGTGTTTTGTTTTGTATCCTGAGAATGGTATCCATATCAATAGTTCACAACATTCATGAGATTTTGTCAATTCAAATGTTTTTAATTATGGAGATTAAATAATAATGAACTCTGGTTTGTGTAATTTTTAATTTTGACCCCTTGACTCTTCCTTTGTGTATTGCAGAGAATTGAATATCGGTATTACAATATCTAATTCAAGGAAATTGATTTCTGTTTATAAATCAATCATCATATATCTCACATATGCCTTTGTCTTTGGTGTGTGGTCAAATGAAGTCTTTTATTCCCAACAATTTAAGATTTTTTTTTTTGTGAATTTAAAATGTTTCTGATTTATTTAATTGGGTGTAGATATAATAAAAACTATACTGTGTCTCACAAATCATATCTTGTTCTAATTCCTCTAGACATTGTGTCTTTTGATAAAATCTTTATTTCATCTTAAAATAGAGTTTCTTTTCACCCCACAGGCATTAAGACCATTGAAATAGACTTTTATGAATTTGCTTGTCCTAGTTATTAAGTAGAGTTTTTTCAGTGCACTAGAAATTCCTGCTGGATTTTGGGGTGATACAATTAGCAAGAAAAAGGGTTGAAATTAAATGATCGTTAAATTGTGCAGAAATATCAAATTGAAACATTTGAATTTGTTTACACCTTAAAGTGCATCAATAGAGAAATAATAGATTAGACATAAGTAAAAATAAATTTGAATTTATAGTTTTTATTGTGTTTTAATGAAGTTAAATTAAAGTTTCTTTTACTCTACATGAGATTAACCCACTTTTATGACTTGTTATTTCCTCTGTCAGCCATATTGTTTACGATCTACTTTTCATTTGGCCTTATTACCCAGTTACAGAGTTACACAATCTGGCTATCTCACCAGTACTTAGTGATTCAATCAAACCACCTGCCTGCCGCTTGATCATTTGTCATGTGTATATGAACAATAACAGCTTAATATAGCACAAGGGGTATAATAGTACATATAACTTGCAGTCAAATATATATGTAGTTTTCTCTTGTGTTTAGTTTCAGTTTTTATATTTTATCTCTGTCATATGCGTGGGTTCAAAATTAGAGCTTGTTTATTAGATAGTGGCTATAATATATATATGTATATATATATGTATATATAACTTTCCGGTACTATTAAATATCAGAGATCAACTTCTCTACTTCATTTGGCTTTAAGTGGTAGAGTGATATACTAAAAAAAAATACTAAATCTATTAAGAGGTTTTTCTGACAATTTTATGTATATTTGGGACACAAATAGTATCATTTGCTCCATTCCAATTTTTCAGACATGTGGTTCTTAAAATTCCACTTTTTATGACATCACTATCTGCAAGGGTCCTGAATTATCAATATCAGGTTACGGATTAGTATTGTCTTTGTAAAGCCCAATGCAGACGAGGAACATTCTAAGCGAACAATCGTAAAAATTTTGTTTTGATCATTTTTTTCACCGTCTGCGGATTACAGAAACACGAACAAAAATGTTAGTGAGAATTGTTCGTGAAATCAAACATGTTTGATTTTTTAAAATTGTTCGCTTCCCGAACAATTCTTTGTTCGCCGTCTGCGATCGAAGCCAGACCACATGACACTCAAAATGGCGACGTTCAGTGAATCCACCAACACAAAATTTTGGACTGTGGAGAAGGAGCAGATTTTAGTAGATATGTGGTCGCAATCTGCCTCAATATCGTTTTGAACCAATCTTTGCTGGGTCGTCAGCCGACAGCTCCTGTACAAGGTTGCTGAACACACCATGCTCTTTACAACGTTGAATCCAAGTACGGACCCAAATGCTCCTATTTCGCCGTCTACGTTGGCGTCTTTTTAAAATTAATAAAATAGCTAACGCAATTTTACATTTTTTTCTGGACGTCGCCATTTTAAGGTCATGTGATTTTCCGTGGCACTGGCGTATTGTTCGAGCTAAATGTTCGTCGTCTACGGAATTATGTTTGTCGTCTGCGGATAACGGAAAACAAATATATTTGTTCGATGTTTTTTGTTCGTCCACAGAAATGTTCCTCGTCTGCGTTGGGCTTAAGTTTCTATTTTCCTTGGATACTTCAAAAGAACTGTTGACTTACTAATTTTGCTGGTTTTCAATTTTTAGGATGACCCTTTGTTGAATTTCAATTAATAATTTACATGCACAGTCTGTTGAGTAAACTTAAAGGGCATTGGCTTCTAGTTTATATTCCTGTATGTCTAAAGTACTGGTATAGAAATATGATTAAATAATTGAACTTGGCCTGGTTTATAAAGTTGTTTACAACAAAACTCAACTCAGTCATGACATTCGGATCTAGGTCATGCACAATTTATATGGCTTGTTCAATTAAAGTTCAAATTTGTAAGCTTATATAAGTAGCTGTTTCCTTGTTTGAAGCTTTGATTTGTCATATTAAACGAATGTCAAATAAACTTTAATGAGCTATATTCATATTGACTTTCTAATGGGGATATTGGAATGAAAACTCATGAGCTCTTAGATAATTCTCACATTTCCCTAATACACAAATATTAAATTCAAAGCCTTTTTTTTTTATCTGTCCTGAAGACGGAACTTAATATTCAAATCACTATAAATCTAAAAGCCAACAATAAAGAGTTTTGACTTTCTCAAAAAAGTCATTCAGTTGATGCACATGTTAGGCAAGACATTTTTATGTGTTTTTTAGTTTATGTGTATTTATATAAAAAAAAAAATTCAACCCTTTTATATAAACAAAAACTCATAAACATAGATATTTTAAATACAAAAAGTTGGTTGTCAATTGTTATTCATCTTGTAAAAGTACAACCAACAAGGGCATGATAAAAGGATTTAGACCTTAGAAAAATGGAAAAATGAATGACATTTATGTTAATGACTTTACATGATTAAGGCAATGTTAATGACTTTACATGATTAAGGAAATTGATTGTTCATTGCCAGTAAAAAAAGATAGTGAGTTAAATGCGATAAACAATTTAGTAATTTGTTTTGATATGCAATAACCTAATGACACTATTACAAGGTTTTTGCGTTGCTCAGAAAGCCATTACATATATTTGCTTTCACTTCATCTTATTTGTGTTTTGTTGTGCTTATTTCATTAAAACAGGGTTGACATTCATCTAGAACTACTGATATCTCTCTGCGATTTGATATTTCAACTTTACTTATCAAGCCTTTTGTTCGAGATGTTTCTAGATGCCATGCTCACATTCAGAGCCCTTAATACTTTCTTTCACTTTGCAACTGGTTTGTCAAATTTATTTATCTATGCAGTCTGTAGCAAAAAAAGGGTTATGTGGTATTTTCATTCTCATAAAAAAAAAGTGTATAGCATTTATCCCAATTTCTCTGATTGCATAACATGTACATGTACTGTAGATATGTTACATTGCTAGTCTAGAATTTCATTAATTAAAGTTTGATTATGTAATGATGGTACCAGTAATGATCAAATCAGTCAAAGCCACCATTTTATATCTACTTTGTTGTTGAAGCTTTAAATTTGGTAATTTTCTTCTTTCTCTAGGTCAAATCATCTGTTAAAAATATCTTGAACATGAAAAAAAAATTCAACATTTTTTCACAGACTTCAATTAAATTCTCACTGAAAAATAATATAAAAATAGAAAGATAAAAAATTGTTTTGAATCTGGCAAGAATTTTCTCTTGAATATTAAGTTAACAACTCCTGTATAAGAATTTAAATGATTGAAAGAAACATTGTTGAACTAACTGACTTAGTTAACTAGGGAAAGGTCAGTAGGTGAAACAATTTTCAAGGTAATATAACCAACCGACTTTCAAATAGATAAACACAGTGTAACTGAACTTAAGCTTGGTACATACTGAGCTATATTTTACTGATAAACCAAAGAGCAGGGTTTTGGATTGACTTGATTTGCCAGATCTAAGAAGTAAACTTGTTACTCTTGTCAAGAGGATATTTTTAACTTATTGTGGATTGACTGTATTTTGCCAGTCATGTCTGAATGTTTCATTCAACAATTTGAACTAAATTGCCATATAGAGAGGAAAACAAGATTTGTCTTTAATATTAAAATATTAAATCATTTATGAACATAGTTTAGTAACATGGTTTACGGAACCTTTAGACACAGGTAAAGTCCCACGATATAGAAGGGTGTTACCTAAAAAACCCAATTCCAAAGCCAATGTATGTATAACAACCCATTTCGAATACTTTTGTTGGTATAATTTGAATAACGAATATAGAATCTCAGACAGGTTCTATTTTTATTAGGAATTATTTTGAGATGGGATCAATAGTTTCAATCTATATATAGATCTAGATCTACTTATTTTAACGCCTTGATTAGATAGAACTATACTTCCCTTCTCAATATATCCCTCTTAATTTCTATACACCCACGTACAAAGTAAATAGAAGTTATTGCCTAACAAATTAAGCTCTAGTTTGAAAATGATTCAACTCGATTCTTAATTTATAAGGGGATAACAACTAAGGTTCACAAGGATCCTTTCTAAAGACTGTTCCTTGGCCAAACCTTTTCATTGATCTTTTTTTTTTGATTATCTGTACCCATTGGGTACCCAAGGGTCGACTGGAAAAACTGTATTCTGCAGCATACTAGACATATATGTTTATTTTATTTCAGAATTTGATGGTGAAACAGTTTTGTGTCGTGTGTGTGGCGATAAAGCCAGTGGATTCCATTATGGTGTCCACGCGTGTGAAGGGTGTAAAGGATTTTTCCGAAGAAGTATTCAACAGAAGATACAATATCGCCCCTGTTTAAAAAATCAACAATGTAATATAATGCGAGTGAACAGAAACCGGTGTCAGTACTGTCGGTAAGTACTGGTGTTTTTATTGTTGATATACCAAAATCACACTTTATCATTGCAGGAACCACAGACATCCGGTTGAATATCAGAAATAGCACAAATTGATGCTATTAGTGTCCCCAATACATATAAAGAATTTAGAAAACCTCTTACAATTCCTTTAAATATAAATGCACAGATATATATATATAATAATTATAGGTTTAAACACCGAACAATATACAAAGATATACACATGCACTTAAATTATATCAGAATAATATAAATTTAAAGAGAATTAAACAATATTAATTAAGAAAAACAAAATTAAACATTAATAAACACAACACACCCTTATAATAAATAGATTGACAATAAGTACTAAAGAACTTAGTAGGTTGAAATAAATTAAAAATTCTTTTCTGTCTGTACTAGGGCTATATTGAATAATGACTGCACCATTAAATTTGGACTTTAAAGTAACATTGAGTAATGTAAAAAGTCAGTTAATAGGTCAGTGGGTTTTTGGTCTTTTGTGGTTAAATTTTTCCTCCTCAATTCACATTTTATTCAAATTTATCAGAATTGTGTCACCCATTCTCTGTGATTTTCATTTCAAAACTTTGTCAACATATTTTAATATGATATTAAATAATGCATGAATTTAAATAAATTTAATATGATATTAAATAATGCATGAATTTAAATAAATTTAATATGATATTAAATAATGCATGAATTTAAATTAATTTAATATGATATTAAATAATGCATGAATTTAAATTAATTTAATATGATATTAAATAATGCATGAATTTAAATTAATTTAATATGATATTAAATAATGCATGAATTTAAATTAATTTAATATGATATTAAATAATGCATGAATTTAAATTAATTTAATATGATATTAAATAATGCATGAATTTAAATAAATTTAGAATTGTATATTATGTTATAATATATATGTAGGCTTTTTTTTTTTTAGATGTGCCCCTTTTTACTTCTTTCTAGGAAAAAACCTAAAATATTTTGTTTTTTGATCAGTTGGTATTTTAGTTGAAGATTTTCACTTCTAATACTATATGCTTCGAAATTTATTTGTTGAACTATAAAATCCTTCAGAGTTTGTTTTCCTCCAAATGAAAAGGAAATAATAGATAATAGAATTTTTTTTAAAGAAATGATAAGTATATCAAAGCTTCAATCAGGACACCTAGGATATTTTTAGTCAAAAAATATTAAGATATTCAACTTGTTTGAATTTGAGCTATTTTTTGACCATTAGAAGCAGAGTTATGGCCCTTGTCGAAAAATCTTGAATATGCTATTACTCTCTTAGTTTTCAACCGATTTTGATGAAACTTAAAATGGATGTTTCGTTTTTACCATCCACATGCCGTGGTGGGCGTATATGGCTGTGGTCCACTATAATAATATGGTTCTATTTATTTGATAAGGTTTATTTCTTTAATTATTTTATTCTTAAAGGAAAAAAAACACTTTGAAAGTCTATAATATATTAATTTATTCCATTATCTGATTTCCTTTCTTTGAAATTTTATTAAGAATAAATTTGGGTTTTGATGTATTTTGTGATTGACAGAGAATTATGGTTTAGTCTATTTCCAAATTGATTTTGAAAAGTATTTTGCGAAGTTCAACATTTTAAGATGTAATATGACACCCACATGAATCTTATAATTTGTTTTTTATAATGGATAGGTCTGATGTCTGTATATTTTTAGAAACTTCAAATAAACTAAAAACAATCTTTTTTCATAAAAAAAACCTTTTTATAATTACATTAAAGGGGTGGAATGAACATTTTTGATATCATTTTAAAGTACAGTGACTGCAATCCATCATATTTAAACTCTGTTCTCCAATTAAAGTAATGTTTGAGCAACATTTGGTGATCTGGTAATATTATTATGAAAATAATTTTATTTGAATTAATATTATAAAGATGAAAGATGAACAAATTTTTTAACTTTTTAGAAAATAAATGTTATGCTTTTAATTTTTCAGTCTAAATTGGTGAAATATTTTTATAATTATATATTCTATATGATTTTAAATTGCAAATAATTAAATTCAAGCTAATGATGTACATTTCTAAAAAAACAACAGTCATTTTACAACATATACATCAAGCAAGGATCACACCTGCTATTGGTGTCTATAAGAACCAAATGACTTTTTTTTGTGATACCAGCTTACATAGCCAGTAGCCAGTACTGTGTTAAAATTAACACAGCAGCATTGATGAAGGTTGCTCCTGTTGACTAAAACAGACTGATTTACTGATTGTTTGTTTCAGATTAAAGAAATGTATTTCTGTAGGAATGTCTAGAGATGGTAAGTGACTTATTTTACATTGTTTATTAAAAATCATAGGTTAGTATCTCAGTCCAATTGTTATTCTGAAAAGTTAAGTGAGTAACTATAACCTATCAGAAAAGAAATAAGACATTCCAAAGATATCCACCTCACAGTTTGGCAAGTCCTGTTAAGTGTAAAAAAATTTGATCATTTTTATTATTTTTTCCTTTTAGCTGTGAGATTCGGTCGGGTGCCGAAGAAAGAGAAAGCCAGAATAATTGAACAGATGCAGAAAGTCAGTTCCCAGTCCACATCTTCAGCCATTCTCTCAATATTATCCAATGAACAGGACGTAGTACAAGCTGTTTTTAATGCTCATAGGCAAACTTGTGATTTCTCTCAATTCCGAGTTCAGCAAATGCGAGAACTTGCATTTCAAGATAATAAATATGTGGATTGCCCAACTCATATGGTAAGAACAGCAACTTTCTTCAAAGAAATTTTATTTTGCATTTCAATTCTGATCTCAATTGCTAGAGACATGGATGCCATCTTGCCATTGGTTTGTTAATTGATTGTATTACATTTTTCAAATATCCTCTCTTAAGTGTAAAGAAAAGGTAAGCTTTGAATGACGTTGACAACTTATATTCAGCACAGAGACAGAAAAGGCTGATGCTTGAAGAACACTGAATGATGAATATTGGGTTTGATATTTCAGGCTTGTCCATTAAATAATCAGCTTGGAATGGATCCCAATGCTAACAAAGACTGGGAGAATTTCTCTGAAAGTTTTACTCCAGCTATTAAATCTGTGGTAGATTTTGCTAAGGGTATCCCAGGATTCACTTTGTTAAATCAGGATGACCAAGTTACGCTTCTCAAGGTAAGATTCAATTCAACAAGTTACTGCATTGTTATTAAACAGTGTCCTGTTATTCACGCTTCACAAATAATCTTATGATCAGTTTATGGTATTGATCCATAAAATTTCACACTTACTTCCTCAGAAAATTTTTGCTGTATTGCAGTAGAAATGGATGTTGATTCTACATTCTGATAAGTGATCAGCTTGAATTTTATTGACTGAAGGTCTTCGTCATAAAAAAGATATCGGTCAAATTTTTGACAAATTTTAACATTTTCACACATTATCTTTTTTTCTTGTCATGTCCGGCTTAAGATTTGAAATGTTTTTCTAGGAATTAACCAAGATGTTTAAAAATATCACTCTTGACATTTCCAAATAAAAACACGAACATCTCGAAAAATAGTTTTGAGTTATTTTTAGTTCAAGTCATTGTTATGATCTTACATTAAGTAATTAGATTTTTGATTTATAGTTTAATGTTCTGATAAACATGGAATCAAATTGCGAAATCAACAATTTGATCATGAGAAGCCCAATTATGAATGAATTAGTTTCATTCATTCATTCATTCATTCATTCATTCCTTCAATACATTCTAGAGTTGGGGTATTGTTGATGTAAAGACTGCTATATAATAATGAAATCAGCAATCCTTATTAATGTGTATGTATTTAATTGTAGGCAGGAACATTTGAAGTGCTACTAGTAAGATTATCATGTTTATTTGATCCTGATACGAACACTCTGATGTTTACTGGTGGACGTCTGTTCCGTAGGCAGCCCTCGAATAACACTAATAATGTAAGTTACCTTTATGTACTTGTCAAAGGAAAATAATGATCATGAACCATTTTATATATTATGAATGTGTTTTCAATTTATCAAACATGAGTATATAAAATGTAAGTAAGTTTCCGTAAGGGTTTTTCTACATTGCATACAGTTTTATTGTTTGAACCAAATCTTGTCACAATCTGTTTATCACAACATATATTATATATATAAATTATTACATAGATAGATATTCTTAAAACCATAAATTGCTGGTTAATAAGACATCTTGTAATAAGTTCATATAGTTAATAATGTTCTTTTGATATTGAATGTTATAGATCTATCTGATTGGATTTTTAATTTATATAACATTGTAAAAAGCAGGCCATTATTATTACTGTATATAGATAAAACCTTGAGAGATAAGTAAATAAACAAGATATTATTTTATATGTGAGAATATTTATGATATTAAAAAACAATGTCACTCTTATTAATCCTACATTAGATAGAATACAATATTTCAAACTGTGACTTATGGAAATATTATAGCATTATATTGAAGAAGGTTATATTTAATTACATTGTTTGTGTTCTATTTCTAGAGAAATTTCTAATAAAAATTACGAAATAGTCGTTATCAAGAAATGAGTTTAGAAAATGGCAATACAGAAAGCTACTGATATCAGTTTAGAGAAAATAAATGATGACAAGTCAAATAATCTTAAAGTCTTGCCTATATTTGCCAGTGAAGTCTGATTTAAGCTTAGAAATGTCTAACTTTGGAATTTGAGTGTTCAATATTTTTAAAGAAAATTGTCAGTTTAAAGAAGTAATTAGAATAATTGTTGAACAGGCATCATAAAGATATTTGAATAGATATTACTGCACATCTTACAGTTCAAGATATCTTAGCTGAATAACAAGCTCATCTTTTTATTTTGAATTATTTTTTTTACATCTTTTGTATTCTTAAAACTTATTGATGACAGGATGTCTGAAGAAAGTGAGAAATTAGTTTTTGAAACTTAAGTCATTATAAATATTGTTAACATTGAATGTAATGTAAATGAGCGCCAATGGGTTTGAAACCAAATAAATTGTCTGAGATAGTGACATTTACCAAGACGTAACCCAGTTAAAATGTAGACAAAAGGAGAAAGAATCAATATTATATTATTATAGGTCTAACAATATATAAAGTACAAGATAATTATTAGTCTTATATGTGATTATGACAAAATAAGTTATGGATATCCTAAATGATGGAACACAAAATTTATGGTTAACCTGAAAACACATTGAATGTAGAAATATTACCTGTGATAGTTTTTGCCGAAGGCTGTTCTAGAAACATTGATTTGGGAGGCAAGCTCTATGAATAATATGTAATTAAATATTAGTGTATGTATTTCGCATCTTGCATAAGTTTTGATAGGTTATTTCATATATGCACATAAAAACAGAACCTGAAACATGTTGTTACTCTGAGTTTCATGCTGTGTGATCTTTGTTAATTTGTTATTCTAAATCATTTATTGTTGTCAGATGAAAAACCCCCTAAAAAATTTTAAAATCTTATCCAACTTCAGTAGGGAGACAGGCTGAATGTAGAGGTATTGTGCTTTATTTCAACAGTGAAAATAGTTTATCATTGTAATTTTATAATCTCAGTTATATAATAATTGGTTTCAAATCAATGAGTAGTGGTGATCATTTGTTCCCATTGTAAAGTCAATAACCTGTTGGTAGGTTTCTCCTCCAAATTGAACAAGTTGTTGTTTACATGTAGAAAATGTTCCTTGAACTAAAAGGTTAATAAACCATCCCTTTTTCAGTCTAGGGTACACTAGAAATACCTTGTTGTAGTATGGTACAAATATATGTATCCTGGGGTGTAGTATTGCATTATCTGTCTCAAGTATGTTACCCTGGGGACATTTTCTTATTACACTACACAGGAGCCCACAGGACATTTTTGTTACATTTTTTCTTTATTAATTTTTCATGAAAATCTTCAAGGGCAAACATAATATTAAAATTTGAAAATTTTTTTTTCTTTTTTAAATTTAGCATTTATAAAAATATACAGTGAAACAAATTTGAAAGATCTAAATCTTTCTAAAGGCTAAGTTAAATAAAAACATGCAAAATAATAAAATATTCAGAAGGTGTACAGAAAAATCTTTGTAGGATCTCATAAAAAATGTTATCCTGAAATTACAGCTCAAAATAAGCATCATATTTGAGGAATTGTGTTTTGGTATTTCAGATTTCCTGTGGTGCTGGTTTCCTGCTGGATTCCATGTTTGATTTTGCTGAAAGATTCAATAAGCTAAACCTAGGGGATGAAGAGTTGGCATTATTTTCAGCCATTGTTCTCCTCTCACCTGGTATGTATTATCATATTATCATATATCAACAGCTTTTGATCCCTGGAGAAATACTTGATTTACCCTCTAACATGAAAATTGTTTTTACGTTTATCTTTTTAAAACCAACTTTAATATAGTAAAATTAGAACGGTGAAATGGAAATAAACTTATAATAGCCTAAAATTGGCCAGAAAATATGCATTTTCATGAGATTTCCCATCATAGATCCTTTCAACACTTGTTATGTAGTAAGATATAGGTTTTCTAGATTTGGTTTAGGATCTCTAAAGGTTTATTTGACAGAAGATTTGTCTGTAGAACAGATTACAATGTTATAATGTTGACAGAATTGATCCATGAATTGATTTTAATACCTGTTTTATTTTCTTCAGACCGTCCTGGTTTACGTAATTTAGAACAAGTCGAAAAAATTCAAAATGCATTGACTGAATCCCTCCATAATATCATCAATATCAACTATAAAGAAGACAACACCATGTTCGCTAAATTACTAATGAAAACAACAGACTTACGGACATTGAATACACTACATTCTGAAAAATCTATAGGTAGGTACAATTAATCTAGTTTTGATGGAATGGAAATTGCCTGCTAAGAATTTCATACATTTACGTAACAGCTCTGAATTATATAAAAAAAAAAACGAATAAGATTATTTGTGTTTTTTAACAGGTCAGAATAGTGTACGATTGGCCCAGGAATCTTTGGTGGATTCTAATTTTGAAGATATGGATATTGATATGGACTCACTCAGTTACAGGTTAGTTTTATATTTATTATTGTGACAGAAATGTACACATTAATCTAATGTTGAGCTTTATCATCTGATGAAATTCCACTTGAACAGAAAATGATTCAATATATATTGTCTATTAGAATATATGGTAATTGACTGACTTTTCTTAACAAGAATACATTATTTATTTAAGATATGCAAGAGAGTATTAATTCCCCACATGCATTTTTATATTATTATAACTTCTAAAAATCCACTATGTGAGCCTATATTTCTATTACTGGCAAGCTAATGTTTATGTAAATTGTGGTGTAAAGTTTTCATTAGTTTGAGTGAAAAAAATTCCAACTGACATCAGACTGCTTATTTAACATGAGAAATGTGATATAATATTCTTTAAGTTTCCTGAACAGTTAATTGTACCAAAGCTAATATTAAAAGTTATTGAACTGTTTCTATTGACGTGAATTAAAACAAGAGACTTCTGTCAACATGACCTACCTCATTAAAAATATATCTTTTCTGAAAATAGACAGGGATAAGACAAACATATTTCATATCATAACTGCAGTGTTGATGTCATTACTATTCAAAGTATTATGATTGTCAACCTGAATTTTGAATATCAAGGTGTATAGAAGTGAGTGAAACAAACGAGGCCTAGATACATACATTACATAACTTTTTATTCTTATTATCTTCTTTCAAAATCTGTACCTTTTAAAATCTTCTTTCTACAATCGACTCTGTGTGAACTCTTAATCCCTTATAGAAGAAAATCCACTTTTAAATCATATTAATGACCTTTATTTCTTGTATCCAAGTAATATTGACACAGTTTTTTGGCACTTGGATGATTGTCATTAGGTGCTTTGGTTTAGAATTCCGCCTTAACAAACATATTTTGATGCCTTGACTGTGGCTTTCAACAGTCGCCACCATGTGACCTTTCAATCCCCTCCAGAAGAAAAAACGTACGAAATAGATATGTTTTTCAAGAAAGCAGCCTTAAACCATCTTTACCTACAGAGTAATTATGAACTGTAGAAATGTACTAGAATGTTAAGCTTATTGATCAATCAGTTTTAGGATGTCCAAATAAGAACAAATTAAGAATTAAAAAGCCAATTAGTGTCACTTGAGTTTATACTAATATTGATAAGTTCTATTTCAAACTGAGTTATAAAGGTATATTGATTAGAATAATAACCTGGTTCTTTATGACCTGCTATACAGCAATAATTACACAGTTTATATAAAAGAGAGCATCCCACAAGTTAATATGTAAATAATTTTTATACGCTCACATGAAAATTGGGGGCGTATATTGCCGTCACCCATGTTCGTCCGTCAATTGCTCATAAACACTCTTCTTGACGGATTTTGACAAAACTTTGTATCAGTGTTCGTTATCACCAAAGGATGAATCCTATTGAAAATCAGAAGAATCGAAAAATATTTAGTATGAGTTATTGCCCTTGTTCTGGAAAACGCTTTCAAATTTAGCTCTTAAACACTAAAAGGCATGATTCTTACTGGATTTTGACAAAACTTTCATTATTCAGTCCCGCGCTGAAGATGGAATATTTGCCTTCTAGAGTTTTCACGAGCTAAAAATTGATCAATATTATTCAGTATCACCCTAAAGAGTTCAAAAGAAGTGTATGGCTGAAGGTTGAATATTTCATACTGGTGATTGTTACTGTGCTGCTAAATATTTATGTTTAAAGTCAAAGCTGCCAATGGGCGTATATTACCTTGCCTGGCAAGCTATCTTTAAACAGTGGAAGTTTGTGGCTACTTTGGATTAAATCTGCGTATTTTTAAACCAGATGCTAAGATTTTTTTTGTATCCTAGGCATGTCAAGTCTTGTCAAAAACATTACTTATATTATACTTGTGATTTTGATGAAAAATCATAATATTTCTAAACAAATGAACCTTAAATGTTAATTTGTGAAATTAAGAAGTGACACTGATAACTTTGCAAAATTTTGAAAACGTCTTTATTTCCATTTTAGATCTGGAAAATCATCACCAGCCCCATCTGAAGCATCATCAAACATGACCTTGACCTCTAGCTATAGCGACATTCCATCATTGGATGGATTAGGTCATGCACGGTCATTAGATCCCAGTCATCAACAAGTAGTACTTAGAACTCCCTATGGAACCTTCTATCGGGAAGAAATGAGTGGATATTATGGAATGATTCCAGAACAGCCTAGACGTAGATGTCATACACTAGATCGGGACACGTTAACACGCCCAACTCGTCTACACACAATAGACGAAGGAAACAGACGACGGTACACTATGGACCGTGAATATATCAACAAAATGGTGAATAAACTAAGTGACACTTTAGAAAAGCGTACAGCTATTCGTGGTGATAGTATGCCACCATCTATATCCAGTAGTGCTGCCAGTAGTCCAATCCCTGAAGAAAATTTCTCATATCTGAACAGTAATCGTGAATTTTTGCCAATTTCATCATCGGAAAGTGGAATCGGCAGTGCTAGAGGGAGCCCGCTGACTAATGCAGACTCTATGTTGTCTTTTAGCTCCTCTCCAAATTCTCCGCATCCTAGGTCCAGGTCTGGATCGTTCGGAAACGAAGATTATCAGCAGATGAGACCAAGGTGTTACAGCTTCCATCTGAATAGTGAGGGCAGAGCTTCACGTGTGTCTCTACCGAAATACGTTGGAGAGAAAGAGAGACTGTCTCAAGATTCCTCTCAGTACATGACTCCAGAGATGCGCCGAGGAAGTATTGGAGCTGCATATGGTTTACATGTCAGGAAGAAGTCATTACTGGTGGATCGTCACCCATCATACCTGGCTGTCAGCTCAGATGGTTTACGACAGGATGATCACCGAAGATCTCAAAGTGAATTGGCAAATTTAAAGGTAAGGCTGCTTTTTAACTCTGTAAACTGTTAAGTCCACATGGCTAATAATATGCCTTTCAGAGTATCCAAAATAATCATGAGAACCCAAATGAGAACCCAAAGCATTATGATTGGCATATAAAGTATTTAAAAAACTAACTTTTGGATGTGCAGTTATAATAAAACACATTATAACCTAAAAAGTTTCCTTTATTATTGTGTCAATATTTGTTGGTCAATTAAAATTTATTTCTCTTGACTCTATTTGTATTTTACAGAGAATGGTCAATGGTCAGGGTCTATACAATCATCCCATACCACGACATATACAGTGGGCTCAGCAGCAGATGGGAATGTCCACCCCTCCTCCAGTTCATTCACGTATCAGTCCTCGAGAGGATCCATACATTGGTGCTACCTTACCTCCTACCATCAACAACATTGACACAGAGAAGCCATCTGGAAGCGGAATCAAAGACATACCCACCATCTTGAAGAAAGAAATTCCAGCAGCAGAAGGTAAAGCCATGGATGAAGAAGCAGCCCCAGAAATATTTCACAAGAAATTTGACAAGTTCCGTAAACATCTAGCACATTCCAATGAGAATATATCAGCTGCAGCTCAATCTCAAGACTCCAGTCAGAAGATGGATGATGCCGATAGAAAAGCCTCCAGTCCAGAATGTCCATTCCAATATCAGAAAAAAGGTTCTCCAGATCCGCAAAGGTCAGCAGGAGAATCACATCCAAATCTTCTAGCTCATCTTAAGGCTCCATCTCAGGTCAAGGTCACACAACCACCTCCTGCTACCAGTACCTTGTCCAGTCTGTTATGGCAAGGTAGTCCAATGATGTCTCAACCCACTTCACTTCTCGCTCAGCACCAGGCAGCTGCTCTCATGGCCATTTCTCATCCTAAGGCAGCCATGATGAAAGAATATCCATCCAATTTCCTTTCGACACACCATGCACAAATGATGGCATCCATGAGTCAAAATGAGACTCATAATGACTCAGCAAAATTGAAAGTGTCACCAGAACCACACTCGCGAGAGCAGTTCCATGCAGCTGCTGTATCTCATCTGAAAGACAAACTGCTCAGTAAATACAACAGTATGGAAAACTTACAGAAAATCTCAGCGACCAAAGAATCAAATTTTAGTGCCATGGAGACCAAAAATTCACCAGAAATGATCAAACCATCTTCACCCAATAGTTACATAGCAACAACAAGATCCTCACCACCATCTGCATCAATAACTACCCAATCCAACTTGATCATCCCAGATTACCAGAAAACATTGCCATCATCTTATGATTCAGTTTTCAAACACAAGACACCACGTACACCATGCTCAATGTCACCTATACATCCACCTAGTTATCATAAACTCAAATAGTAAGTTCAAATTTGTATTGTTAAAACTGTCATAGCTTATTGAATTAAGCCTCTCTTAAGAAAATGCTACTGTCATATTTTAATTGATTGCAGACCTGGACAAATTTAATGGTTTGACAACAATGTCAATGCTGTTGTATTTGATAAGCATGTAATTTTAACAGTATTTATAACTGAGACTAATGGATTCGTATATTATTATCCAACATGTTTAAGTTAAATGCAAGCAGTGTTTAATAGTGGATTAGTTTAATATGTTTGAATTTGTTTTTCAGTGGAGATCATCAAGACACTTTACCACTCAATCTGACTAAAAAATGTGATGAATCTCAACTGGTTTTACCTATTAAGTCTCTGGACGAGAGGAACTTTACAAACACAGCAATTAAAACAGAAACTAATTAGTTCCTTTGTCAAACTTATAAATAGATAAAACAATTGAAAATATAAAGTGCAAAGTCACAGATTCATGGCTTAGCAGGTGCTTTGAAAGACAAAATGTTAATCTGCAAGTGGTCAATGAGTTCAAATTGTAGGAGTTTTCATTAGAAGAGGCAGAATTATAAGTAATTGTAAAGAGAAACAAATGAACAGTTATGAAAAAAGTATTCTTTTGAAAATGACGGTGACACAAAAGTCCAGGATTGTTGAAAGAAGGCTTTGAAAAAGACACTAAAAGTCTGTGGATCTCAGAACAGTGCTGGAGAACTTATCTGGATTCACCTTATCTGGATTCACCTTATCTGGATTTACCTTCAAAATGAATAATGTATAAAGAGATAACAATTTATTTATGTTGTGGAAAGAAACCATATTATTTAATGAATTTAAATGAAGTCATTCTAGTGTCTCAAAATATGAGAAATGACTTATTCAAGAATGAGTGTACTGATACAGGATTGGATGTTGAGGTCTTAAAAAAAACGAGAATGGCCAGACTGTTATTTGATTGGATTATTGAGTTGTCAAGCTTTTGAGCTTTGGAAAAGCTTATAATAGAGATACAGTTCTGATAACGGAGCTTATTTGTTTGGTTGAACTGAAAAACAAGTTCAATTTGTTATCATTGTTTGCAAGATAACTCCTTTAATTTATGATATAATCATAATCCTTGGATTGATACAGATTTTTGTATTGGAATATTATATCATTGTAATACATCAGTTCACTGTGTTGAATTATTTTAATCAAGTGATTTGATCTTGTTGAAACATCAGTCATGATTTAAATATTATTCCCTATGGCTGAATTTCAATTAGAGTGTTGAGTTTTGTTGTTGATATGTTGTACTTTAGCTGGTGAGAATCTAGGTAAAATAGCAATTGATTCGTGTTACATTAATGTGATTGATTAAGTACAAAACAAGCTTGATATCTAGTACTTTTTGATGGACCAATTAAGATACAGTTGGTCAAATATATTTATGCCAACCAGGACATCAAAACAGTATAGGGCCAACGTTCAGGGGTAGTGGACTACTGTAAGTGGCTCAATGGCTTGATTCAAAGTACAAGTACTTCCTCTACCCTATGAATAAAGTGAACTGTTCATGTTGATGCATCCTGGTTACTGAGATATATATGTATCAGTAACTGACAGATACAAGCATGTATGATAATTTATATGTGAATGTTTTTGTTTTGTATGTTAATTGTAGATGTAATGTATTTGATTTAAAGTGTTATTTATCTAAGTTTGTGTTAAAATATGTAGTCAATTTTAAAAAATGATATTCATCATGATATCATTGCAAGAGTCATACACTTGCATAAGATGTGTTATATAGGCTATGCTTCTATGCAATGCAAACTCTATTTAAAAGAAAAATTTAAAAACCTTATTTAAAATATTTCTAAATTAAGTCAAATGAAACATGTTATTGACATCTTATGTAACATGTTTTAAAAACAGTTTTTATTATACTGTATTGAGTTATTATATATTCCGAGTTATTACACAGTGTTCAATGATATCATAGAAATATTATTCTTAAAGTTGAACTACATATTGATTAATTAGTGCTATAAAGATTTTAAAAAGTCCTGGCAGAATAAATGGTATAAATATTATAAATTGAAGTGTGTGATTCATCTTACCAGTCCCTTTACCTGTATCTAACTTGTGACTATAACGTGGAATTTTTCTAGTGTTCAATTCTTGGTCCAGCTTCAGATATATTTGACTCTCAAAAATGAATCTAGATCTTGGTGACCCTCAAAAGGACAAAAGATCATGCTACATACAATAAAAAGCTGTGGGGAACAGGAATGAATTGGAATACTAGAAAAAATGCACATTATAGTCAACTCCAAGCTTATTGACAAGATGGCAAAAAGGAACTGGTATATAAATTGATATATGTTATTTACAGGTAGCTACCCCTTTAATTTAATTGTTTGGTGCATTTATTACATTTCCCTTATTCAGACATTGACCAGCAGTAGCCTACCTGTCAACCTATTACCTATGTTTTGTTGTGAGGACAATTCCTGCTTATTAGTAAACTATTGATCGTTGAAAAGGCCAAAATAATTCACACTTTGATTGTTTTGTGGGGATATTCCGCTACGTTATTAAATGTTCTTAATAAAAAGCCAAAATAATTTGCACCTCCAATGGGTTGTTTTGAAGGTAATTCTGGTTCACACCATTATTACTGTTGTTAAGAGCAATTTTTCCGAACTGTGTGTTAATATATTTGTAGTTGCTTAGTTACATAATATAAATAATTGCTTCTTTACGATAATTTGTTATATTGTTATAACGGAATAATCAAGTTTTGAATAGACTCCTGCATCCTGCAAATATCAAGAAATTTTGTAATTTAAGCCAATGATTTCCAAGTTTTCAGGGGGTTATTATACATTAGTCAGAAATAACTCAGATGTTAGGTATATTCTGTTCAGGATGCCAATAAGTGTTGAATATAGTTTTGATAATAAACTATAAAATACTCAAGGTTAATATTTGACATAACAAGAGAGAGTTATGTATTATAGAGCATTGCCCTATAGTTGCTAATGTATTTATCACACAATGCAAGAACAAAAAGTGAATTACCAACTAGTAATAAGTAATTAAGTAAACTGTACTGAAATAATTTTAATTCTTAATTCTAAACAGCCAGAATTAATTCATATATTCATTCTTCTTTCACATCAATATTATCAAGAAGTGCTGACAACTTGATGCAGGGGAATAAATGAAGGTACATAATGGAGATTATTTTCCATAAGAATATTATAAGCTTTTTATATTATTTCCATTAAACAGGCTTATTTATTTATCAATGTTGGGGACAGTGTGTTTGTAGATGTGTGTGGGTGTGTGTGTGTTTGTAAATATTTATTAATTATTATTATTATTATACAGTGATATAAAGGAATATCACTTCAATGACATCTTTCATAAAATATTTATGTCAAATATTCAGTTGAGCTTAGGTCTACTATTTTGGCTTATTTATGCTCATACATATTGCTTTTTATGGTCATATACTTATATCATTAAATCATAATATTTTACAGATCTTTCCTCACTTTTTGTATTATAACAAAGTTAGAATTATTCTATATAGAATTTTGTAAAATCAATTTCATTTTCCTGTATATTATTTTATTATTATACTGAAAATATGATTTAGACCTGATCCCAACTGACGTCATTATTCTCACAGAGGTTGTTGTTTAAGTAGGACACCAGACTGTAATAAATCATAATACATAAATAAATTATGTCAATATAAATACACACTGAGTAGTTTATATTAGTAGTCAAGATGATTGAATTGAGGATTATAATTTTCAATTTTATTGGAAATTCCACGACAAGCCCTTTTTCATCTCAAAGTCAGAGCCCAATCACCAAAAACAAAGTTTCTAATTACCGAGTCGGAGAATTTTCTAATTACTGAGTTAGGACACTTCCTCTGTTTCGCCCCCTTCCCATATCGCCCCCGCTATTTTTTATCTTCTATATCGCTCTCCTGCCCAATTTGCTCCTTTCCACTTCGCCCTTCTATTTTGAAATTAATTAATTATAAAATATGCCTGTTTCGATTTGAATTCCAGTCCCGTGTGCATTTTGATACTGGGTCAGTTGGAATATGATAAAGAGTAGGCTGGAATGTAGCTACCTTGTCAAAATTTCCATTTAATAACTTCAATTATATGTAAATGTTTGACGGCAGCAAAATTTAATTGCAATTCCTTTTCTGTATTCAACTCAACTTCAACTTATACTGTCCCTTGTAAATGCAATGAACAATTTGGAAAGGGTGAATTGGGAAAGAGGCGAAGTGGGAACAAGGCGCAAAATGGGAAGGGTACAGAACCAGACGGGTGAAATGAAAAAGGTACGAAATAACTTAGTCGGGACAATTTCTGAACACCGTCCAATTACTGAGTGGGATCACTTTCTAATAGCTAAGTCTTGACACTTCTAAAAACTGAGTCAGAACACTTTCTAATTGCTAAATATGTCAGAACATATGTTCAATTTTTTTTCAGTCCGGACACTTTCTGTTTACTGATTCAGGGCACGTTCTTATACTGAGTCAAAACAATTCTGAACTACTAAGTGAGAATCTTTTCTAATAACTGAACATGAATTCCTTTAAATTGCCGAGTCGTGGAACTCTAATAATTACATTTCACTTTCTAATTACTGACAACTCTTTCTTATTACTGAATCAGAATACTTTCTAATTACTGAATCAGAATACTTTCTAATTACTGAATCAGAATACTTTCTACTTACTGAATCAGAATACTTTCTAATTACTGAATCAGAACACTTTCTAATTACTAAATCAGAATACTTTCTAATTACTAAATCAGAATACTTTCTAATTACTGAATCAGAATACTTTCTAATTACTGAATCTGAACACTTTCTAATTACTGAATCAGAATACTTTCTAATTACTGAATCAGAATACTTTTTAATTACTGAATCAGAATACTTTCTAATTACTGAGTCAGAATACTTTCTAATTACTGAATCAGAGTACTTTCTAATTACTGAATCAGAATACTTTCTAATTACTGAGTCAGAATACTTTCTAATTACTGAATCAGAATACTTTCTAATTACTGAATCAGAATACTTTCTAATTACTGAATCAGAATACTTTCTTATTACTGAATCAGAATACTTTCTAATTACTGAATCAGAATACTTTCTAGTTACTGAATCAGAATACTTTCTAATTACTGAATCAGAACACTTTCTAATCACTGAATCAGAACACTTTCTAATTACTGAATCAGAGTACTTTCTAATCACTGAGTCAGAGTACTTTCTAATTACTGAAACAGAACACTTTCTAATTACTGAATCAGAATGGTTTCTAATTACTGAATCAGAACACTTTCTAATTACTGAATCAGAATGGTTTCTAATTACTGAATCAGAATACTTTCTAATTACTGAATCAGAATACTTTCTACTTACTGAATCAGAATACTTTCTAATTACTGAATCAGAACACTTTCTAATTACTAAATCAGAATACTTTCTAATTACTAAATCAGAATACTTTCTAATTACTGAATCAGAATACTTTCTAATTACTGAATCTGAACACTTTCTAATTACTGAATCAGAATACTTTCTAATTACTAAATCAGAACACTTTTTAATAACTGAATCAGAATACTTTCTAATTACTGAGTCAGAATACTTTCTAATTACTGAATCAGAGTACTTTCTAATTACTGAATCAGAATACTTTCTAATTACTGAGTCAGAATACTTTCTAATTACTGAATCAGAATACTTTCTAATTACTGAATCAGAATACTTTCTAATTACTGAGTCAGAATACTTTCTAATTACTGAATCAGAATACTTTCTAATTACTGAATCAGAATACTTTCTAATTACTGAATCAGAATACTTTCTAATTACTGAATCAGAATACTTTCTAATTACTGAATCAGAATACTTTCTAATTACTGAATCAGAGTACTTTCTAATTACTGAATCAGAATACTTTCTAATTACTAAGTCAGAATACTTTCTAATCACTGAATCAGAATACTTTATAATTACTGAATCAGAATACTTTCTAATTACTGAATCAGAACACTTCCTAATTACTGAGTCAGAATACTTTCTAATTACTGAATCAGTTTATTTTCTAATTACTGTATTAGAACACTTTCTAATTACTGAATTAGAGTACTTTCTAATTACTCAGTCAGAATACTTTCTATTTACTGAATCAGAATACTTTCTAATTACTGAATCAGAGCTCTCTCTAATTACTGAATCAGAATACTTTCTAATTACTGAGTCAGAATACTTTCTAATTACTGAATCAGAATACTTTCTAATTAGTGAATCAGAATACTTTCTAATTACTGAATCAGAATACTTTCTAATTACTGAATCAGAATACTTTCTAATTACTGAATCAGAATACTTCCATATCACTGAATCAGAACACTTTCTAATTACTGAATCAGAATACTTTCTAATTACTGATTCAGAATACTTTTTAATTATTGAATCAGAACACTTTCTAATTACTGAATCAGAATACTTTCTAATTACTGAATCAGAATACTTTCTAATTACTGAATCAGAATACTTTCTAATTACTGAGTCAGAACACTTTCTAATTACTGAATCAGAGTACTTTCTAATTACTGAATCAGAATACTTTCTAATTACTGAGTCAGAACACTTTCTAATTACTGAATCAGAATACTTTCTAATTACTGAGTCGGAACACTTTCTAATTACTGAATCAGAATACTTTCGAATTACTGAGTCAGAATACTTTCTTATTACTGAATCAGAACACTTTCTAATTACTGAGTCAGAACACTTTCTAATTACTGAATCAGTGTACTTTCTAATTACCGAATCAGAATACTTTCTAATTACTGAGTCAGAACACTTTCTAATTACTGAATCAGTGTACTTTCTAATTACCGAATCAGAATACTTTCTAATTACTGAATCAGAACACTTTCTAATTACTGAATCAGAATACTTTCTAATTACTGAATCAGAACACTTTCTAATTACTGA